TTGATGCTAAATGTTAGCAATAATGACAATAAGAATCAAACTGGCCTCACCTAAGAAATGCCGCCTCGAATATGCCTCGGTGCTTCACAAGATATCAATATTTGAATACTGGAGATTGCGCAGCCTCGCTGCGCCCCCAGTGGTGTGAGCGGCAACGTTGGTAGAATTAAGTTTAGTAAGTTAGCAAGTGAATATGAATCATATGATGACTAAATTTGAAACTCAGCGAAGCTTTTCTTAATGATTGATTCCGGTGCTGCTGCCAGACACAAGAGTCCAAGACTTCTTCGCCAGCTTTCTGATTCCCGAAGATCATGGAGGAAGAAGATAACAATGATGAAGCCCAGATGAGTGTTGCGCTCATCCATCTAAAATGGATGCAAGAAGCAATGGTAATGGTAAGAATCTGTGTCTAGAGTGCTGCTTGATCATAACACACCTCAGGCAGAAGAAGCATTAGCACACAGCGAAGTGCCGGTAGGCTGCGTTTTTGTGCGGAAAAACAGTATTATCGCACGTGCGAGGAATCGCACCAATGAATTAAGAAATGTAACTATATGGTCATCTAGTCACATCCGCTGGTCCAATTCCTGTTTTACAGGCTTCTAGACATGCCGAGCTCGAAGCTATCGATCTTATCCTCGCTGATATGGGGTTGACACCAGAGCCCACTCGTTATCCTCTGGCAGATACTGTACTGTATGTCACAGTGGAACCATGCATCATGTGCGCGTCCGCACTTCGCCAGCTAGGCATTAAAGAGGTCTTCTACGGATGTGAAAATGTTAAATTTGGTGGGTGCGGCAGCGTGTTGGGTGTTAATGCGAGGTCTGTTGTTGCACTGCTATTTTTTGATCCCGAGTTCGACTAGTCACAGCGTGAGGCATCCAGTTCATCCATCCTACCAAGCTACCGGTGGGTACCTTCGAGAAGAAGCCATAATGATTTTGCGTCGGTTTTATGTGACGGAAAACACAAACGGCATGTCCTGCTATTCTCACTAATCAAGTCATCACATTGACGTTTTTTTTTTTGCTAGCTCCAATCCCAAAGCAAAAGTCAAGTCGGGTTCTCAAGACAGAAATTCCCCCGAAGATCCAAACCTGACCGCCGCTCACGATGGCATTACGTTTCAAACATTTGAATGTCAGCATGAGAAGGCTGCGGCGCTTATTGCAGATTTTATAGATGCTTTTTTTTCACAAGGCTGTCCAGGACTACAACACCAGCGAAATTTATTCCGGCGCAGATCGCTCAAGTAAGAGACTACATCACACAGGTGGATGGCAGTACCGAATACTGCATACGTAAAAATCAATTTCGGTTTCCTGATGATATGGTGTATAGGTATTTACGAGTACATCGCCGTGTATTACACCATTGCCCTTGCTGGACAGGATCAATCTTGCCACTCCAGCCCGAGAGACTGGGCCACGAAACCCCACTTGTCTGCCGCATCTTGGATCCTGTAAAACCGCTACGTCACATGTTTAGACTTCCAGAAGAATAAACACGCACCTCTTCTCAGTAGCCTTACCTGCGCCGTGCCCCGCCTTTTTGTCGATGCGAATAAGAAGGGGGTGAGGGTTATGGGCAAGTGTGTGTTGCAACGTTGCAGCATGTTTGAATGAGTGAAGGGGGACAACTCGGTCATCATCTAGCATAGCTTGATTAACTCAAATTCAAAGATTCAGACAAGACAACGCACGATCAGCAGTCATAAGCAACAACGGAGGCAGGCTCTTGCCCGTTGGGACATTATGGAGGGGTGAAATGGGATAGATGAAATCAAAGTCATGCGGGTCATGTGGATTTCCGTAATCAGACGTCCACGCTTTGCCTGCAGACCAGGGCATTAGATCGACGTCGAACTCTGCAATGTAATGTGCCCTTACCGATTGTGAAATCAGCAAACTATAGGACTCATGATTGAGCAGAGATAGATACTGCCAAAAGCGTGACCCTCACCTTCAGGAGGTCAAGCACACCAACTTCGGCCACGCCCGCCCCAAATGTGCCCTCTGGGGCGATGTTCATGCAAGCAGCCACGAGCAAACCTGAAATCATGGCTGAGAATCGCAATAAATAGGCGGGTAGAGTAACCTGCCTCCATTGGATCCACCGTTGATGGCGACCTTACCAGGAGCAGCGATCTTGCTTTTAACAAGATGCTCACTGTACACGTAAGTTGTCAGCTTGCGATGGCTAGAGAACTCCACTCACGTAGCAGCAATGAAGTCATCGAAGACGTTGATCTACGGCAACATTAGACATGGTCCTCGGCAGTAGTCAGGTTTTTCACCTTCCGTTCTTTTGTGCCAGCAAGATGCCATTCCTCGCCAAACTCGCCTCCTCCGCGAATATTGGGCAAAGCATATACAGCACCGTATGCCTTGATGAAAGTCAGGATGGTGGGACTGAACGAGGGGCTAAGTGATATACTAAATCCACCGTAACCTGATCCAAAGTGTCAAGTACTGATTAAAACGAACGATGACATCTTACCGTATTGAATAGCAGGTGCAGTTCCATCGGACTTCGTTGACTTGTGCTTCACGATGAACATCGGCACCTTCGTACCATCCTTGCTCTCATACCAGACTTGCTTAGCGCTGAACTCATCCGGTACCAGCCCCTTCGTTATTGTTGACCGATATATGCTCCAACGTTTATCTTCACTTGGCTCATCGAAATTGTATCGTGCCACAATCCCAGGATTGGTAAACCCAGTCAGGAACACGAAGAAATGCGACTGTGCTCGGCGGCCATTGACTTCTGTAGCGCCAACGAAATCTGGAGCAAGCCGAGTAAGCTGTTTGCCCTCCATCGAGTAGAGATATAATTCATCAATGACCTGTAGTCCTCCACGACGTTAGCTTCAGCAATATAGAGCATGAGGGGCAGCTCCTCTTACATTGCGCTTGTATACAACGGCCAGTTTATCATCTCCCACGGCAGTAATGTCGTCTAAGTATGCATCTTTGACTTCCGGTATGAGGACCTTGTGCTGGCGCGACGGGTCCGCGAGATCGATCGTGATAACTTGATATTGAGGCGCATTCTCATTTGTCCGTAGGTATAGTTTAGTCCCGTCATTCGCAATGCTGATGGGAGAATGACATGCGGTGTCAGCAGGTCAAGTGGTTTCCATCAAAGATTAATGACACCACTGACACCGTGTATTCCGATTCGAACTCGTTTATAATCTTGTCCCATTTCATATTTTGGCCAATTTCATTGTCTTGCAAATCGGCCACCCACAACATGTTTTTCTAAGCCCAGAATGATTGAGTAAATCGGCGACGTAGGATAAGAGATGAGTGCAGACCTTTCCAGTGTCTTGGACGATATCAAGAAACAGATATCTCCCATCTACCTCCGAAACCGAGGCACCCCACATCCATTCGGGGTGTTCGGCATCTTTCATGACTAGGATGTCTTGTGCTGAATGCTTTAATTAGTCAAGAGAGCAGCGATACAACCAAATATGGATAGCTCGAACATTGTGGAGTTCCGATTCTATGGTAGTAGAGCATAGCATCCTTATCATCTGTGGTTTCTGTGCCAGCTTTGTCCTCCGTTGCAAGCCCATGAGACTCTCTGCTTGGAAACCGCTGGGGAAAGTACCTTCGGGGTCAGATACAAGACAGAAATTACTTAGAACCTACCTGGTAGAAAAAACCTTTAGAATCATGAGTCCAAGTGATGGACGAGAATTTCACGAAACGAATCTCCTCCGCAAGCCTTTTTGCATGATGATCGTTAAGTTGCCCACCAATCGTGGTGAAAGGTTCGCTTGTACGGCGCACATAAACTGTATAAAAATCGCTTCCCTGGAATGAGCTGGAGATTAACGTCCTTTCCTGAATGACATAGTATAATTACACACCGACAACGAGATGCCATAGGCGAAGTATTCGCCAGAGCGAGAGAATGCCGTGACAGAGAGGGCCGCAGTGCCGTCAGTGGACAACAAATTGGGCTATGTAGTCATGTGTCATTACTATCTGCCTGAAGTAGACAGACATTTCGACTCTTACATCAAAGTAAATTTCTCCGCCCGGCCCCTCCCCCCCGACCCGTCAGGGAGATTGGCGTCCTTGGAACGGCAAATCACTGTAAAACTAGATATATGGCACGTAGCATGTTCATGGTGTCTCAACCCACCTGACTGAGGCTGGAGACCGCTATTGTAGTACCAGTACCAACGGCCATCGTATTTGAGCGACGGTGCAGAAAACTTGAGAGAAGTGAGAATAAGAAAACAGCTAACTGTCACGATGACCGACCTTAGCATAGTCGGTATTTGCCCTGATCTCGTGCTCTAGTTTGGTTCGAGCAGGATTTTTATCTAGGTAAGATCTAGTAAATTGATCTTGCGCCGTGGTCCACTGATCAGTCTCCTGGGACTGTTGCTCGAGCCACTGATATGGATCAGGAACGCGGACTTCGCCCTGTTTCTCGCTCTTGTAGACGTCAACATAGTCGGACCGACGAGCATTTGGATATCGGTTGGGTGTCCAGGGAGTGGCCATAGCTTTGGTATGAGTTGAGCGTGAAATAAAGCTGAGAGCCTATAAACGCGAGTTGTGGGACGAAACACGCGGAGACCCAGTATGAGCATCAAGATGCCTACCTCCGCTTTAATTTAAATCAGATCAGGGGGTGCCAAGAGTCCCACAGCAAAGGACAAACATGCCAAATGACAAAATCGATGAAAGCGGCAAATCCAGGCTGCTTTCCAAGCCTTCGATACAGAAACGGACACGGTGTTTAAGTCCAAGGCGGTCTACTTGTCTGGAGCAAGGCCTAGGTTCCTTCTAAATCGCTGAATTATTTAAGACCCTCGAAAATTCGAGTCGGAACGATACCCGGAGGTGGCACCTGTCCTCCTGACTCCCCTTTCGAACAGAAAAAAAAAAGTCTAGAGACGGTTGACAATGAGCGACAAGTACTCACGAGTTGTCGATATTTTAAAAATTGAAAAGGGATGCTAATTAGTCAGCGCTTGCAACCGACGGCACAACCTTGAACGCCCCGGGCCTCTGATTCTAACATGCGCAAACAACGCCTGCATTACAGCTTCGGATTCAAACTCGAAACCAACCTTAAAGTTAGCTGAAACGCCTTCCTCCTTACTATGGATCAGGTTAGCCAATAGGTAGCTTATCAAGTTATCATATCTCTGATACTCAACACAGGATTCCTTCAGGCAACTTCTTCAGACACCTCGAATACCAGGTGCGACTCCGCAACTCAAAGGAGTACAGGGAGCATCTCTACTAAGGCAGCATGTCCCATATCTTGAGTTGAAATGCGTATAGTAAATAGATTAACAGGAAAGCCTCAGGATCATCTGCACCAGCGTTCAAACCACGCAAAGTGAAGAAGACTGAATCTAAATACCGTGATAGGGCCGCGGAGAGACGTGATGGCGGGAAAAGTGACTATGCTCAGGTATATCTATCCTTGTCCTGTTCTTAGGACACTAGTAATGAATCCAGGTCGAAGCTGTTCTCGAAGTTTTCGAACAGCGGACTGCAAATGACGATAAAAATACTGTGTGCTATTCCATGTATCTCCATGTTTCTACTGACATTCCCTATGTAGGTCGACGAGCAGCGCCAGTATCTTGGCGGAGACAGCGAACATACGATTCTGGTGAAGGGCCTAGATATGTCCCTGCTAGAGCAGAACAAAGCTCGGGCAGCTGCTTCTACCGAAGATGATGATACCCTTGAGCAAGCTTTTATTGAAGCCTCCTCGGGACCCACGACACATAAGAAGAGGACTCGCGAAGACATCATCCGGGAACTGAAGGCCAAAAGGAACGACAAGGGCCCGCAACCCCCCGACACAACCGTGGAGGCTCTCGAAGATGGGGCCCGCGACCTTGAGAAAGCAAAGAAGGCAGGGAAATTCAAACCAATCAGTTTCAAGCCAATAGGGGTGCAGAAAGGTGACAAGGGTACCAAAAAGCGCAGCAAGGAAGATAGTGAAAGTCGTGACAAAAAGAGGAAGAAAAGGAAAGTGGAGGGAACTTCGGGTTCACCTCAGCCGGCCAACACCATCCCTCACCTGGAGGCTAAGCATCCAGCGGTAGCGCCAACTTCTGTTGCCGAAGTATTCTCGCAGGCCGACCAAAGGCCTCCATCTCCACTCGACGACAATATGGATATTTTTGCGGGGGCTGGTGACTATGAAGGTTTTCCTGGGGATGATGACAGCGATGAAGATGGCTTAGATTCCGCTCACAAGACCGAATCGGAGCATCGTATCAATGATTTACATCTTCATCCGAACCCGCTCGTTCTAGAGGATGGTTTGGAGATGAATACGGTGACGAAGGATCGATACAACCGCTAGCATCCACGGAGAGCACTGCACCTCAGTTGCCTTCATCAGACCACATACCTCAGGTAGATGAAGAGGAAGAGGAATCTTTGCGTCTCAAGCCATTAGAGTCATCTGCATTGCCCTCGATCCGCGATTTTCTTGCGATGGATGCTGCTGCCGAAAAGGAGGATAAGAGGAAAGCCCGAAAGGAGAAACGGAAAAACAAGAAGAAATCTGGCGGGGATGATGACGACTGAGGCCAGCTACAATGTTGTTCAGTGTTGTGCTATATACCAGCGCAACATTTGTCATGTATATGATGGACAATCAATAGATAACGTTTCATATTTTACCATCATGTGGACTCGCAAACAAAAACTTTCCGCGAGACCTGTAGTGCGCGAATCCCAGCCGTGAATCCATTCCGTCAATTGTCCTAAAAAGAGGTCAGTGTTCCAGCAGACAGATCAACATTCGAAACATCACCCACCGCTTCTTCATCTCACTTGCCCAAGTGATGTCTTTCAATGGTGGAGCATTCAAGGATGCTCCAAGCAGCCCAAGAATGAGCGCAAGAATGCTCTCATACACAATCTACTCCATACTATTATTTGCTTTTGCTCGACATGGTGGATTGACTTACATCTAGAGGTAATGATCCTTCAGGCTTTCCCAAAGCTTTCAAAAGTGACAAGTCTGCAAGTGAATTTAGCCCTAGACTCAAGTCCTGACAGCCTCTATGATGCTCACGTTCGTACGTGGAATATGCGGCTATAGAACAACTTCAAGTTGAGTAGTGCAAGATGTCAGAAAGGACATTCATACCGTGAAGAAGCGCGAGCGTAGCCAAGGTAAGGAATAACTTCCCAATCATAACGAAAGCGAGGCTGTCGGGGACGAGGTTACGTGCGTGACGTGGGTTGGGTTGTTTGTTTCCAATGCTCTTGCCAAACACAAAGACTATTGATATAATTAGACGTTTCCATCTTGGGGCCATTTCTGATCGGAGTCTTGTCTGGAGTAAATTCCATGATATTTCAAGCACAAAAATCCAGGATGACTCAGTCACGACATGGGCCATAAATACAGTTCACGTTCTTTTCGCTTCATCTCCTCCTTAGACTCGCAAGGCTGAGCAGAATGGACGCCTCAAACTCTCCTCCTATAACAAACGAAACCACGCCTCTGGTCCCAGCAGGGCCTTGAAAAAGCCTAAAACACCTCTTCCAAAACTCCAGATAGGCATACTTATGACATTGCAACTTGTCGAACCTATCGCTTCGATGTCCATATTTCCATACATCAATCAGGTATGATGATTTCACGACGGGCCATCAGATTGTTTTGCACGCATTCTTCATATCTTTTTCTCAGCTTATCAGAGAACTTGGCATCACTGGAGGTGACGATGCGGCTGTAGGATATTATGCTGGAATGATTGTAGGCACAGAGATTATGAGTCGCGAGAATCATGATTTCCTCATACTGTAGGATGCGATTGACAGGAATCTCTGTTTTTCGTCGCACAGACACTGACAGTGCTGAGATGGAGTCGGTTGTCTGACCGTATCGGACGCAAGCCAGTGTTACTAGTGGGACTATCAGGAACTTGCATCTCGATGCTATGTTTCGGTCTCTCGACGACATTCTGGGGCCTTGTCATTAGGTATGGCTTCAGCTGAAGAGACTTGAGATACAATCCTTACGTTGTTTTCTAGCCGCTGTATGTGCGGCGTACTGAACGGCAATGTTTCAGTCATGAAGACTATGGTGGGCGAATTGACGGACTCTACAAATATGGCTCAGGGATTTGCCTTGATTCCGGTCATGTGGTGCATTGGAGGCTTTATTGGGTAAGTGCAATTATCGACTGTCTGAATGGCCACAACTAAATCCGCATACCAGTCCTTTAATAGGCGGAACACTTGCGCGTCCGCAAGATAACTGGCCCGGATTATTTGCTCATCCATTTTGGAGCAAATACCCATATTTTCTACCTTGTGCAGTATCTGCTTGTGGGCTTGTCCTGGGCTTTTTCGTCCTGTTATTTTTCTTAGAAGAGGTGAGTTTACACACTATCTGTGTCATCGTACGAGTTACTCACGATCTGCAGACATTATCAACCAAGCGCCGACCAAAATTGACAACTACTCTAGGTATCTCAAACGGTGTCAACAGTGGTAATCGAGAAGGTCTTCCACAAGCATCTAACATACCCGTGCGATCTCTGCTCATACCCACCATTGTTATTCCAATTGCAAACTATGCTTTGCTCGCCTTGCTCGACATTGCTCTCATGGCTCTTTTGCCACTGTTCCTTTCTACACCTACCTATCTTGGTGGCCTTGGTTTTACTCCTTCTCATATTGGCTTGTGGACGGCAATACTTGCAATGGCGGATGGTATCTTCCAGGCATTGTTCTTTGCCAAAATTGTTGATTGGGTCGGTCCAAAGCGTCTCTTCTGTGTGTCCGTGTCGTGCTTCGCGCCAGCTATGCTCATGTTCCCGATCATGTCGTGGCTTGTACACACAAGGGGGATGGTTGATTATGCAATCGCATTTCCATTGATTGGCCAACTAGCGCTGACGGTTATGTGGGATATGGCATTCGGTGCGTGTTACGACGAAACCCGACCTGTCATTGAAACTAAAACCCACTTCATTATAGGGACTGTATTCATGTTTATCACGGCCTCTGCCCCTACAAAGAATGTCCTTGGGGCTGTCAATGGTCTTGGTCAAACCTCCGCGTCCATGGCTCGTGTCATTGGGCCTGCATTTGCAACTTCGCTCTTTGCATTCTCAAAAGAACACAATATTCTCAATGGGAATGCAGTCTATGTTGTCTTGATTATGCTGGCTGGTGTATTGAGGTGGCTAGGGTCACAATTGCCAGATGAAATACAAGATAGGGATGAGTGATGGTCGAGTGAAGGTCAGCATTTAGGGTTAGGTTAAGTGGACCTAGTTTCTCCGAGTCGTACGTCAGATCCTGGGCAAACGAAAATATCAATACTATATCATAATCGTGAAACCCATCGTTGGGTTTGGCGAGCAACGGTTGCGTTGAATATTATGCAGGTCTCATCTACTCATGAGTGAGGATCATGTCGATCGTCCTTTGGGGCCTGGCGATCGCCAATCAGTTACAATACACAATCGCAGAAGTGATGGACGCCCATTTGCACTTGATAAAAAACCAGTAGAGGGGACGTCGACGACTGTCTTCCCATTATCACTCTACCTACGGGAGACTACACTTGTCGTAAGTGTAACATAGTACATCAGACTGGCCTCATTGGCCAGGCAACCAGTGGAATATGCGTATGCATCGCTGTCCTGGATAATGTCTTCTCTTTTGCCCATTCGTACATCTTAGCAAATTAGCTCATGTATATCGTACCAGTGCAATGTTTAGTATAACTGCATGGGTTTCAATCATAATACGACTGGCTACGTACTAACCTCTGCCGCCAAACATCCGATAATCTGCAACTATTGTAGTAGTATAAATACGTGATCACCGGACTGGATGTCCACCCATGATTTTGTCTAGAGTCTTCGTCCTCAGTGGTGTGTCTGCAAACAAGGCACGTACAAGTTTCACCAACTCGTCCACCTCAAAAGTCCACCAAAGCTCCTTCCTCGAAAAGATATGTGAGATCAGCCATGGAAGCTTCCTGGAAAAGAGGCACGATGAGATACTAATCGAATAACCCGACTTCGAATAGATATACCAGGAGTTCAGATAGATATGAGAATTTCAACCACGACGGAACGTATGACACCACGAAAGATGACTGGGCATTAATAAGTTAACTATTTTGAAAAAGTACAGCAAGCATACCTCGCTGAAGTCTTCAACGAAGAGCCCTTCAAGAGCAGCCAATATTCTGCATAACTCGCTCAGTTTGTGCGACTCCACCTCAGGATATCCGGAATTGCAAGTATGTTCTCAAGGATCCGCTGCAATGAAACTTCGACTATTGCTCCCACGGCAGTGTAGTACTTGCTCTTAGGGAGGACAGGCTACAGTAAGCACAATGAGCTGCTTTCAACATCATAAAATGCGCTTCATTCGCACCTTCCATGCGTTCGCGGCGCTTCGGACCTCGCGAACGACACTGGAAATGGCCATCTCACAGTCATCATACCGATCCTGGTCTGACGTGTCTGTGAAGCCCTTCGCACCTGCTAGAATGTCACGCAGGGCCGTCCGTTGCCTGTCCTGTTCCAATACATGCGTGACTACTTCAATACCATCAACGGCAAAGATTCGAGAACTCACAATGCCATCTTGATACCAACTGTCGGCTAACACCTGCAAGACACTCTTGCATTCCTCTAACTTGTCTTTTACAACAAGTGCTTCTCGCTCGTGTGTAACCAAGCGACCAACCTCCTCTGCAAGCCAACAGCAGTTGTTGGAGAATTTCATGACATCACCAGGACGAACTGAGTCGTGCTGCAGCGACGATAGGATACACTGCACGATATAAATCTAACACCAGTGCTCCGGACTGCATGATGAGTATCCCGGGCGTCGTTTTGGATGTTGGTGAGGTGGGAAAGATACCCGAAGATGATAGTCCTTGTCCTTCGTGCAACGCGTCCTCGACCGTGCGAATGATTGACTTCGCAAGAGTAGATACCAAATATGGCTCGGTTACGGGCCCTGAGTTAGGAGGATGATGAGAGGTACTGTTTAAGGGGCGAGAGATCCTTTGCGTCGCAAGTCCAGAGTTCGCAGACGGGCGTTGGGATGAGACAGGTACTGTCCGCACAGCAGGAGTAACCTCCGATAGGGCAGGTTCTTCACCCCATGGGTCATCCCACAGGTCTTCTGTTTGCACTAGTTCTTCAGGTGCGGGCTCTTCATCATTCCAGCCCCACGCATCCCCCGGGTCTTCCTCAACTACTTCCACAGGTTCAGCTTGTTGAGTTTCCTTTTCCTCCTCCAGATCATCGTCAAAGCCCCAGACATTCTCCTCTTCTGGCGCAGACCTCGAGGATCCTGTATTGAAACTCTGGCCGTCGTCATCAAGTCCCCATGCATCGCCTTCGTCTGCAGGCGCAGGTCCAGCCTTGTCAGAGGTTTCTTGTGAAAGAGGTAACTGGGCATAGAATGTTGGCTCAGAAGATATGCTTTGAATGATAAGTTTGCGAGTAGAATCGAGAATGTGTGACCGCCGTTGTCGCTCATAATGAGTACAGACATTGTTGACCCAAGCTTTGATTTCGCTCTCGCTAGACGCATCAAGCATCCCAACGATGTACTTGTCCTCTAAATCCACTGCCTTGTTTGCAATTTGTAAAAAAGTAGGCAGAGCTTCGAGCTGTGAAGGCAGACCAGGAATAAGCAAACGGGTCAGGACTGCAGTAGATATGGGTTTGCTAAGACTTCGCGAAAAACTGTGTTTGTGCGTCGATGGGAGGGCGGGAAATAGTTGTTTGTGTAAGAAGTCGAGGGCGGTGGATACGTTGGTAAGTGGAGAACCTGTGTCAGTGGTATTTGGTGACGAAGGGAATCGGCCAAGGACGTGCATCAAAGCGCCAGACTTATCCTTCATAGTGCTAACTGTAAGTGACGTCGGCTGGTCAAAAGAACACTCGATGTAGTGCGTTAGAATATCCCTCCTCAGGGTAGAAAGATGCGATGCCAGTGATGCGGAGCTGATCGATGAGAGGACAGACGAAAGGGGTAAGGGCTTCAGTGACCGAGGCACTGAAAAACTGCTTGAGATACCCCCCACCATGATGTTCTGTCACTCACTCAGCACAAATGGTTTGATGATAACTTCTGACGCGTTCACAACAACACTCTTAGTGTAAGCGTCGCTGAGCAGCTCTTCCACACGATTGCTAAGCACACGCAGCCGAGCCTACAAGCAAGCAAGTTAAGACAGAACGGAAGGATGTTAGTCTCTTACCTGCATTTCAGATACTACCGATGCGTCTTTGAGTGGTCCGGGAACGGAAACCAGCAAGGAACTCAAAGCATGACACGCAACTACAGCCGGAGGCAGATCCCCTACGTCAACGAGCTTCTGCAGCGCATCCAGCTGTGCTCTACATTCATAAAGGTGCGAAAGAGAATCACTCAAGACATCTGCATCCAAGGACTCTTGGGCGAGTAATTGGTGAGCTTCCAAAGCTTCAAGCAAGACCGGAACTAGACCGGACTAGTGATGTGTTAGCGAGGCGTCTTAAAACGCATAATAGAACAAACACACGCCTTAGAGTCCGAAAGCGTAACACTTGAGACTTGGACATGTCCGGAAAGCGTGTCCAGTCGTTCTTTGAGAGACTTTGCCAAAGACAGCTGTCTTTGGAAGTTAGAAGAATCTGCACATATTCTGTCATGAATTTTTGTCTATTCCAAACCATTACCCCACGGAGAACTCATATCAATTACAGGAGAATACCTTAGTCAATCGGATGGATTCATCAAGCTCAGCCCTACATGAGGATGCAAAAGACGAATTCAGGGATTGTAATGTTACAGAGTCGAACTTGGAAAGAACATTCGATGAAACGTTGAGCTGCTGCGGGAGATGGTCAGGGAGAGGAAAAGGCATACGTCCAACCGGCGTCGAAATCAGGAGAGGAAGTCTACACTAATTCTACACGCTCCCTCCACGACTAGCTACTGAGTCAGGTGATCAGAATTCACCACGTGATTCGTCGCAGAGCTGATGTGGGCGTAGATGCGGCCAAATATTCATTCATTCCAACTCAGAGTCCAAGTGTCAAGTTATACAAGTAGCCAGCAGAAATTGCAATTTAAACAGCCTTGGAACTCGTGGGTATGTGACCCGACGGATTGTGAACACCGTATCAGTGGCAATTTCAGAGTTTGGCGATCTACTAGAGTACTACGAATGTAAAACACAATAAACCTTGCGGAAAGTCATTGTCAGGTGCTTCAATTATACGATGTATTACTTCGCAGAAAGCTCCACAGCATTCTTGAACGCTCCGAGTAGAGCAGATAATTGCATCTTCTCACTTCCGCCAGTTGATAATCTATGCCTGATGAGAAAGACATCAGTTTTTGTCACAAAACTGGACATAAACAAGACATACTCGGTGGTAGCCAGAAAGTCAAGTAAATATACCCGAGCCTGTGGCTTGAATTCAATCATTTCCACGTATTCGTATGTACCCGATATCAAGTCTTGCAGTGCGAGTCCACGTTCTGTTTTCATGGCCGAGATCACTGATGGAGGTTTTGTGAGGCACTAACAACACGATGTGAAAGAACTCACTTTGGTAAGAAGTAGTGAATTCATCGGAAAGCATGGAGTTTACGATGGTTTCAATATCTGACGGGTGAGGGTTTCCAGTGCAGTTATAAATTTCAGTCTCTCCAATAGAGCTATATGCTGCGTGACATGCTTGTAGGACATTAAGAGCTCGCCGCATGTCTCCTTTCGAGAGTTTTAAAAGGGCCTTTTTTCCATCCTGAGTCAGATTTACCCTATTACAAAGTTGGGTGTTTAGTAGCAACTTTAGAAATGACTCTACATACTTCTCAGCTTCCACAACACCATTCACGCGCTTCTCCACCTCTGCAATTGGCAGTGGCGAAAAACGGAATCTAGTACATCGACTCTGAATTGCTGGAGCGATCTTGTTCACGTAATTGCAGATGATGCAAAACCGCACGTTCTTGGTGTATTGTTCAATGACACGACGTAGGGCAGCTTGAGCTTGCTGTGTCATCATGTCGGCCTCATCGAGGATAATAAGCTTGAAACCTTTCGAAAACAATGTTCGGGTCTCTGCAAATTGCTTGATCTGTTCGCGCACTACATCTATACCTCTGTCATCCGATGCATTGAGCTGAACAAGATTAGCATTGCTCTGTACAGATCCAGGGGGCTCCACCTCCAGTATTTGTTTCTTGTATTCTGCTCCATAAATCCGTCTCGCCACTGCAAGAATTGTGGACGTCTTCCCAGTTCCAGGTGGACCGTAGAATAGAAGGTGAGGCAAGCGGTTCTTGTCAATGAATTTCACAACTGAGTGGATCTCAGCGTATGTATTGCTCAAGCCAGGAGGGACTCAACTTGTCGTTGTAATATCCTTGTGTGAAACCACATCGTCGAGTGTGACTGGTCGATACTTCTCTACCCTATCGCGTATTGAGCAAGGACGCGAGGGGGAAAGATGGAAGACGCAACCAAGGTAAATTATCATCCTCGCGCGGCTCATATCTCTCTGCAGCCTTAGCCTTTCCTTTACCCTTGTCAAGCGATGATGTAGAGTCAACATCCATTTGGCCGTCACTAGTCCTAGTCATGACGCGTTTCAAAGCAATGAAATTTATGGATTCGATGAGCGCGACGCGTCGAGAGCAGATTAGTAATTTGATTAGTCAGTCGAGAGTATTCTCACGCACAGACCATCATCAGATTGATTAAGGTTTTCGGGTATTAATCATCCCTTCCATCCTACAATTGTGACCACTACGACCGCGGCTCTTGCTTTCGTCAACGACTCCATCGATTATTCGTTGGACAGACAGAAGCGTCCGGCAAAATGCAAATCTTTGTAAAGACGTGCGTGCAGTTCAGAACTAAATTTCTGTAGCCTCACCTGACATTGATATCAGCCTCACGGGCAAAACTATCACTCTTGAAGTCGAGTCTTCAGACACCATCGACAATGTCAAAGCCAAGATCCAGGACAAGGAGGGGTAAGGTTCTATTGCACATACGTATTATCGATCCTTATCACTGTCTTAGCATTCCCCCCGACCAGCAGCGCCTGATCTTCGCTGGAAAGCAGCTCGAGGATGGCCGTACTCTTAGCGACTACAACATTCAGAAGGAGTCCACTCTTCACTTGGTTCTTCGCCTCCGTGGTGGTGCTAAGAAGCGCAAGAAAAAGACCTACAACGTGGGTACCATTGAATATCCTTCATCGAAATGTTAAGCTTATCATCCTATATTAGACCCCTAAAAAGATCAAGCACAAGCGCAAGAAGGTCAAGATGTCCATCTTGAAATACTACAAAGTGGACTCGGACGGGAAGATCAAGCGTCTTCGCCGCGAGTGCCCCAACGCTGAGTGCGGTGCTGGTGTCTTCGTAAGTGTTAACTCGATTTAAACCTGTTGTGTGGGGCTGATGATCCTTGTCAGATGGCTTTCCACACAGATCGTCAATACTGTGGCAAGTGCCATATGACGTACACCTTCCAACCTGGTGCAAAGCCTCCTGCTGTGTAGAGTAGCCGTCGGCCATGTTGTATAGTTATCACTGACTTGTCGAGTAACGAGTATCGTCAGACGTGCATGTGCAATGAATCATTCTACGGATTGAAATATTGTTCTTACCGTATAAACGACTTCATTGGCTGAATTTGTGAAGTAATGGTTGGGGTTGGGGTCTGGTGCTTTGAATATTGATGTCTGTAAGCTTCGCGAACTTGTTCTCCGTCCAAGGCCAATGATTGAATGTTGCCCTTGAACGCGTAGCCGCCCCTAGTACTTTAGTACCTTGCGACAAAAGCATGTAATATTCTAGAGAGCCCAGCTGGAGTGCCATTGTTCACCAATCCGGTGATGGGTCTCATTGCATAGATCGACATGATGTTTGATAACGTACTACAGGTTATTCACTCGAGGCATCCATTGGAATTTCGGATATTGGTACATCAACTAAATCTCGAGAGGGCCGGACTCTTACTCATCCCTAACTTGCATCTCATCTGGCAACTGCGACGCCAGCCACATCAATACGCCAGCCAGCACAATCAAGATGAAAAATACGGCGTTTCCATTCAGAAGATTATGTTCTTTTGAAAGTGCAAATAGCGAAGTCGCTAAGACGGGCCCAATGGCACGAGCTACTGACGCGGAGGTCTGACCAAGACCATTGATAGCACCAAGGACATTCTTTGCCGGAGCAGAAGCCGTGATGAACATGAAAATAGGCCCTGTAATAAAGGTTGGTTATTCGTAATAGGAGGTCAGTATCACCATAATGCGCACCAAATGCCAAACCCCAAATAACTGTTAGAACTAGTTGGCCAAGCAATGCAAACGTGATTGCATGATCAACTATCCCCCTTGTCTGTACAAGCCACGACATCATTGGAAACATAAGCATGACTGGTATGAAGCACGACACTGCCACACAGAAGAGACGCTTTGGGCCAACCCAATCAACAATTTTGGCGAAGAACAGAGCCTGTAAGAGGCCGTCCATAATCCCAAACAACGCCAGCCATAAGCCAATAGAAGAAGGGCCAAGACCAAGGCCACCGAGATGCATAGGCGTAGAAAAGAACAGCGGCGTCAGAGTCCTCAACGAAATATCAAGGATACAGACCATGGCGTAGTTTACGATTGGGATGACAATGGTAGGCGTGAGCAGAGATCGCATGGGCATATCTGCCATGGATTTTTGCGCAAGCACTTCTCGATCGTCAACGTCATCTCCGCCCGTGACGCTCGTCTTTGGTCGACGCTTGGTTGATAATGTCTGCCAATTGTAAGTAACGTGCGCTATGAGTTTTTTTAGAACTTACTTCTTCTAAGAAAAATAATAGCATGAAATAGGCCAGGACAACAAAACCAGCAGCTACCGCACAAGGCAGAAAGTATGGATATTTTCTCCAAAATGAGGAGGCGAATAAACCGGGCCAGCTATCTTGTGGATGCGCAAGTACTCCGCCCATTAAAGGGCTAGCATGTGGAATCCGTCATTGGATACCCCCATAGTTAACGCTTTGACTTACCCAACAAATGTTCCAACCTTCCAGAAAACCTGAATCAAGACGAATCCTTGAGCCATATTTGTGGAGTCTGTCAATTCCGCCATCACGGTTTTCGAGACTCCAGCGTTGCCATTCAGCACACCACACATGCAACGGCTAGAGAAACAAAGAAACCATGTCAGGATAATGCTTCCTGCTTCAGTTGAAGACATACCTGACCACAAGGCTCCAGAGGGTCGTCGAGAGGCCGAAACATAGCATCGAAATGCAAGTTCCTAATAGTCCGATCGATAACACTGGTTTGCGTCCAATGCGGTCGGACAACCGGCTCCACTTTAGCACTGTCAGTGACTGCATGACAAAGAATAGAGATTCCTGTAAATCAAGTATGTTAGTATGAGGGAATCATGATTCTTGGGAGTCGTAATCTTGACGCCTACAATTATTCCAACATAATATCCTACAGCTGCGTCATCGCCTCCAGTGATTCCGAGCTCTCTAATAAGCTGATAGGGGTGAAACAGTGTCAAAAATGAGCAATGCGATGCTGCTGTAAAGTCATACCTGGTTGATGTACGGGAATATAGACATCGAAGCGATCGGTTCTGTAACGTGTAGCATCATAAGTATGCCTATCTGGAATTTGGGAAGAGGGGTTTTGGGCTTTTTCAAGACGCCTACAGGGGCCAGAGGCGTGGTCTCGCTCGCTACACGATGAGAATCAATAGTGATCATTCTGGAATGTTGGTGTGAGCCCAGAGGGAGATGGGAATATGTACAACGAATCACTTTAATATGGACAGCTGCATTTATTGCCTGCGCATTGCAGCATTATTGATCATGGTCAGATGGGCGGTATTAGCGATGCAGTATGACATCGACTCGAGCATCAATCAGGCAGGAACTACCCAATACGAGTTCGCGCAAGGGACTGATGATCGATTGGTTCCTGCCAATGAAGTCGCCCGACGCCATAGAACGCTCTTACGATAAGTGGGGAGTGTGCGATGCCCTGTCACTGCTCCACCATTCGGCTGCCAAACAGTGTAACGTAAGAACATAATAAAAAGACCTCGGAAACCTCGTCGTCTCCGATAATTGGCTCCATGGATATCCTCCAAGTATCTCGCTCGATGCGAGTCGCTAAAAATCCGCTATAAGTCTCATCTTTCTCCGTAAATCGACGTCGAATATTGTCATGCATATTCCTGCCGTTTTCCGGAGATATGGCTAGGGCCGGGGCTGAGCGTTGAGCAGTGAACGAGGTCTTCACCTCCGCTGTAACTGAGGTACTGATGCTCGTACCTTCGTGTAGGAGCCGAACAATTTTGGATCCGGAGACAGGCCATCACCGCACAGAGCCGTCAGATGAAAGATCACAGACGTTCTAGTGATGCCATGATGGACATCGTCTCAGAAGTCTGATAATCAGGAAGTTGCCCGTGATCATTTCGCGAGCTCCTGAAATAAGCAAGCCTCGTGCCGATTCGGAGCCTGCTGGAGAGCCAGCACCATGCGTCCAACTGAGCGAGACCATGATGCCCTTTAGATTTAGACCAAATTTAGACTCTACCTTTTCTATTCGAAATCGAGCTGCTTGCATAATGGACTCACAAGCGCGAATCCTAGTACCGTCGCTTACTTATTCTCCTCATTATCGTAGTTATCTCGTCACTAGTACATTCTTTCTGTCCCTCCCAACCACTACTGTTCCATCGTGCGATTACATTTTGCATTCTCATGTTCGCATGGCATCGTAAAATCGCTGTTCATTTGCCCGTCCATCCGGCCGCGGTTTAATCCTAGCATCCCGCCCGAGCTAACGCTCGGCCACAACCCAACCTCTCGATGCCTTCGTATTCGATTTTTTCGTCTCACCCAAGTCTCACCACAACACTCGAAGTTGGAATACCATTATGAATGTGGTACCGCTGCTCAGCGATTTTTGGAAATCCCGGGCCCGGGTCAGTCTCTCCGCTGGCTAGAATCATCCAAGATAGGCTGGCGGTATCGCGGTACATCAACCAAGTGAAGAGGTACGTGATTGCGGACAGAAAATCCATCTGCTCGTTGTCCACTCGTGGCAGGTTTTGTGTTCTCAACCAATAGGACCTTTCATTTATCACATCCATTCTTGATGCTAACCCATTCCTGTTCCTTGACGAAATTCAAAAGCAGCTGCTTCAAGCACGGAATGTTGAAGTCTTGATGCCACACTCGCGCAGCCTTCATTGAGTCGCAAACAGACATCGAAGGGCGACAGAGCGAAACGAGTTGCTGCATGCAACACCTCATTCACTGATTCTGCCATCTCAGTGCATTGAACTGTCCAAGAAGATAGCAGGAGCTAATAAACGAGTGTGAGGATTGAGGGTGATTTTTCTTCAAGAATTGTATGGGACAACAAGATCTGTTCGGGCCTATACCATTGCGATGTAAGATTGACCTTATCAGCTGGTTGAACATAAATCATACCATACCTTGTAGGGACAGTCCGTGTCGGTCAAAAGGCCTCGTGGACGGTATAGTTCACCTGAAAACCTGCATGGAAGGTGGGAATTCATGCAGTGTCTGTGCAATATCGACCCTGCCAATGAGACCGGAGCTACACTACAATCGGATATTGACTGCATTGGGATAGCACAAAGAATGAAGAAACTCAAATCAGTTAGTTCAAAGGGAGGCGAACAGAATACTTACATACAGTATTGTTTCCCGACGAGGCTTAGTGTCCGATCGAACTTGACGCCCTCTGAATGGAGAGTATGTAGTGCCCTGTCTCCAAAGTAGATCGGCTTCAAAAATAGGGTGGGGCGCATCCTGGTGGCAAAGACTCAATGTCCCTCGCGTATACCCATTCTGCGCTGTTCTGCCACATTCGCATCACTCCCTTAAACATCCATCGCCGAGCTAACTGCACCGAATTCTGCCCCTAACCCCTCCGCACGCTTTCGCTCCCTACAGGCTACAGCCTACGGAGGTTAGCGTGGACGGACGGACCTTGATTGGAGTCCCCACATCGACGCTTGCGGTGACCAGTTGAGTCTCATGCGCCACTTTTTGCCTTTTCATGCTCGTGTCCCCGTCTCCCTCGTGTCTCCCATACAGAACTTGGGTGTGTAGTGTAGCATCTCCTTGACGGTGTTTTGTCCTTTACGTATGATCAAATTTTATCATGAAATCAACTTAAATTCCTCGACTCGTGCCTTTGGATTGCTGGGTGAGACGAAGATGTAATATAAAATTATGACCACTAACGATATGCATGTAGATATTGTAATATAGGTAGTACGAGGTGAAGCTACAAGATAGGAGAAGAAAAAATCCAGGATGCAGTGGAAATCACTGAAGAAAGAATGTGAAGGCGCGTCAATTGTGGTAACTGACAAGGAGGATTGATGGGGGGAGGCAACGAGGGAGGGGATGTCGACTGCGAGTGCGATGAGGATCTGGCGCTGGATCTTGGCACGGGTGTACCACTTGGTCTCGATGCGCTGTTCTGAAAAAAATTAATCAGCGGCGATGGCATAGCCAGGCTTCAGGTCCCAGGAAGGGACGGGATTGGTGTCAAGGATTATGGGCAGGGTGCAGAAAGATGGCGGCGTTCACGGGCACTAGGGTTGGAGAAAAAATGGCAGGGTATGCTATGCGCAAAGACCGCGAGCTCGACGAGTAGGACAACGAAGACAACACATTAAAAAGATAATTCGTACCTTTCTCCGATACAGTTTGCGGGGTCCAACCTTTACTGAAGAACGTCAGTCGCAAAGAGAGAGCCGATCTATTTCGGAATGGTGAGAGGCCCCACGCAACTCAATCTTCAAGCTTGAACTACCGGACTCAGAGCGCTCTTCCCAGACCCTCCACAGCGACGTGTGGCATTCTAAGTATGCCTATCTGGAATTCCGGAAGAGGTTTGGGGCTTTTTCGACACGCCTACAGGTACAAGAGGCGTGGTCTACAAGGAGAATCGGTAGTGATCATTCTGGATAGTCGGTGTGAGCCCAGAGGGAGATGGAGGTAGATACAACGAATCACTTTGATATGGACAGATGAACGAAGTGCTGCATTTGTTCCCTGCGCATTGCCGCATTATTGATCATGGTCAGATGGTTGTTAAATCAAGACTTTGGTCAAGCAACGGATTGACTCAGCCCGGGCCGTCAAGCACAAGTTGGTTCGACGAGTAATTAAGGGAACGAGTTTCATCTGTTTCCCACAAACGCTGCTGCAAACCAGAACTTCGACAGCTTGGATGACGCGGGGGTTGTAATAGAAGCAGCGAGGAAAAACGGCATAGAAGCACCAAGCAGGCAGGTAACTAATGAGTTCGTGCAAGGGACTGATGATGAATTAGTTCCTGCCAATGAAATCGCCCGATGCCTATGCTCTGTAAGGAGCCTAGTTCTGGTAGCAGTGTCGGATGTCCAGTCAGTCGATATCCAGAGCCTTCAGATCAAAGATCACAAACGACGCAAGGTTCTAGTGTAATGGACACCGTCTCAGAAGTCCATGATAATCAGCTCCCCGTGATATTAACGAGCTCCTGGAATATCATTATGAATGTGATGTCGCTGCTCAACCGTTACGATTCTTGGAAATTCCGGGCCCGGATCAGTTTCTCCACTGGCTAGAGTCATCCAATGATCATACGCAAATAGGCTGGCAGTGTCGCGGTTGCCCAAGTATGTCAATAGAATTCAATGGTCTAGATACTAGAGATTGCCAACGACATGTGATCACAAGCATAGCCTACAACGTGGCTTGGTGGATGATTCATTTTATGCGCAGAGGTTGCGAGGCAAGTCTGCCGACTGCATTCAAATATTCACGCGCACGGCTTATGTCACGCACTTCAACTATGTAGTAACACTTCTATTGCTCAGGTCCAAGGGTTCAATTGCGATCCAGGCGGATCCGTGAGTAGCACAGACAGACGCCATTTACAACAAGTAGTCGTCCTACTAGTACATACGTACAAAACGAGTAATATTATTCGAGGCAATCCATATCGAAAGTTATAACTTAAGGCGCAATAATCACGCAGCAAACATCATATCACCACCTGGGATGAGGCTGACCGTCCCATTGGCCTCGTTGAGGTAGTCCTTCATAGTCTGGTCCGCTACGAGTCCGACTCCTTTGCCACCCTGAGTCCGGACGATGTGGTGCATCACCTCTCCCTCGTCCCCGGCCTCTGCCCCGTCCACGCGTGACATTTGTCCATCCTCCACGATCGGGTCCATCATGATAGGGAACTGGGGCATGACGTAACTCTCGATCCCGATCTTGCCGATTGTACGGCCCATTGTTAAAAGACCCACGTGCAGGACCCGTTGGTGGAGGTATGGAATTAGGGCGCATGGGCGATGGAGGTGGGGCCGCCCGTGGACGGCTAGGAGGATGGCTCACAGGAGGAACGCTTCCTGTAGCGAATGGTTGTGATGGAAAACTGGGTGGGGTGGTGTTGTTCCATAGCTGAGGAGGTGTGGCTACTATGGAGGCGGCTGGTGCGGTTGGTGGGGTGGAATAGCTGCCGACACTCATGCCATAATCCGCAGATAGAGTTCTTAACACGATGTGTATCTGTTCCTGCGTGAGCGAAGCCACCTCTGCTGCGAGGGACGTGTTAGCAAGCTGGGGATAAGCTTGCTGTAGGGCAGTAAGTGGAGGGGCATTGATAGTTGCAGATACAGGTAAGGGTGCAGGCGCAGACACATGTGGTACGGAAGGGG